AGTACAAACAGCTGGACTTTCATTATACCAGCTTCTATGATAAGTAGAGATTTTTTTCTGCCCTTGTCAGGAGAAGAAATCTCATGAGTTTGATTTCACATTGAATTTCAGGGGGACTATACATCTGAATCAAGTTGTTCACCTTCTTTGTTGCCTGCAGGCTCAGGACCAGATGAACCATTTAGAGAGGAGACAGCGGTTTTACTGAACAATGCAGGCAGCCCAGGGAAAAGGACCTGGCAGTAGGTTGCTTAACAGATCTATTGTTATCAGTATAGCAACAGTGAGAATAAGAGGATGAAGTTATATAGGCAAGGAAAATAGACCATAAGGCAGCAGAAGCATTGAGCAATACCTCAGAGGAGACTTAAAGAGGCATTTATACTCTCATAGAATCATAGAAAATTAGGACTGGAAGGGGCATCCAGGGGTCATCTTGTGTAACCCCCTGCTCATGGCAGGATCATCCCTACCCACACTATCACATTATCCCATACAAGTTCTTGACTAATCTACTCCTCAAACCTACACAATCCACCCTGTCAGACAACTCTAAGGCATATTGTCCAAAGACCCCAAAGCACTTTAACTTGCCACAGGTAAAGCAGAGGGGAGGGGGGAGGGGAAGCTATTTGTACCCCACCACTGCTGGGACTGTTAAAATGCATAATATATAAAGTACATAGAAGAATGTGGGCCAGTGTATTAGAAAGCCCATTTACCTGGGGTTGATTGAGCTCTGTCCATTGACTGAAACATAGTGCCAGTTGCTTAAAAATAAATAAAATATGTTAGCATGTGCTTACGCGTTTGCCATTGTGTTTCACGTGGAGATGTTTCTCCCAGCCCAACGGTTCTCAAGCAGGGTGCCCCAGCCCCATGGGGTGCCGCGAGACAATAGAATTACAGAATATGAGGGTTGGAAGGGACCTCAGGAGATCATCTGGCATAGGTGACTGGTAGGGGGTGCATGGGGGTGCACATGCCCCCCCGATGGGGCTAGTGCCCCCCCCGATGGCCAACACTGATGCTGTTGGTAGGGCTGGTTCCTCCCCCCCCCCGACAGGGCCGCTGCCATCAGTAGCTGCTGCCGGTGCCCCCCAGATTCAGGAGGCATCAGTCATTCATGTTATCTGGTCCAACCTCCTGCTCAAAGCAGGACCATGCCCAGAATCTCATCCCCACCAAGACTTTGGCTATCCAGGTCTTAAAAACCTCTAAGGACAGAGATTCCATAACCTCTCTGGGTAGCCTGTTCCAGTGCTTTACTGCTCTCCTAATAAATCCTAATTAGCAATCTTAATGCCATTAGACTGGCTGCTCTGGCCCTTCCCAGGAGAAGCAATCTCACAAGTTCAATTTCACACTAACATCAAGGGGGCTGCACCTCTGAATCAAATTGTTCCCCTTCTCACCTTGCCTGCAGGCTCTGGACCAGACGAATCTTTCAGAGAGGGGGCAGGACAGGGGAAAGGGGTGTGCAACAGTAGGATGGCTGGAGGTGCCAGCCCCTAATGCACAAGTCGCCAAGGGAAACTCAAGAGTCTTCCCTAAGATAATCCACGGCGCTCAAACGATTTTGCCCGGAGCTCAGTGCAACAGGAGAAGGGCTCTAGTGGTTTTGTCTATAGTCAAAAAAGGAGTGGAAGCCCAGAGCTGGCATTTCCAAACAGGGCTCCAAGCAGGCAGGTCTATAGATGCACAGACCTTATTTATAGATAGATAGCTATATCTAGACCTATCCATATAGACTTTATATATGTGGATGGATCTAGATCTATCCATATAGACTTTAGATAGATAGATAGATAGATAGATATGTTGTTCATCCTTTGCAAATGAACATCACTGCATCCAGTGGGGGAGAAGAGAGAAAGGAAGTAGGAAAGAAAAAGGGAGGGAGAAAAGAGGGAGAAAGAGAGGAAAAAGGAGAAAAATGAGAGGAAAGAGAGAAGAGGGGGGGTAGAGGCTAAGTCATGTGGGTATGCAGGTGACTTATAAACCCAATCTTTGCCCTGAACAATCTTCAGATATATAGAACTTAGACAGATAGATAGATCTAGATCTAGCTATCCATATAGACCTTATATAGAGAGGCAGATCTAGATCTATCCATATAGACTATATATAAAGCTATCTACAGAGAGGTTATAGATATATAGAGATCTATCTCGACCTTATGTATAGAACTTATACATGTCTATATAGATGTAGATCTATACAGACCTACCTATTTATTAAAATATCTATAGGCCGTTTATATCCACATAAAAATATACAGACCTAACTGTCCTTCTAGGCTTCTGCTCTATAGACCTATCTATGCACCTGTGTCCAGCCCCTTTCTTGCATGGCTAGAGACACAGACACGGCTAGAAGTGAGCGGAGATGCAGTTGGAAGGGGGCGGGGCGGGGTCCTTCCTACCTGGCTGCCGGGCGGGT